CGATGCATTTGAGAACAAGACTTGAGACTTGATGATTCGTGATGTTCGTGGTTGATTTATTGTAGGCTTTTGGTGGCTATAAACGGCATGTTTCCATGTGTATGCTGCCTTTGGGCAAGGTGGGTTCTTTGATCATAAACTTCTCACCGTCTTTTAATTCCACCGGGGCACAGGCTCAAAGTAAACTATAGGACCACCGCCTAGAAAGTGATAAACGACTGTTCCTTTCCTGCGGTGTCTTTAGAGACCAGGTTTCTTTGGGAAGGCCCCGTCGGGATTTCGGCTTTGCACTATTTGATAAAACTCACTTGTGGTCAGCTTATAGCCATTGCTGATGGTTCTACATTCTGTCTGTTTTGTCTTATGGTTGGTATTTGTTGGATAAGATGTCTTCATGGGAATCTCTGGATGTGCCTCAAGAAAGCTTTGCCATGAAGTCCTCAGCTCAGTGCCACGCCAAAACCTCTGTTCAAGGTTCATATCAGCTCGTCTATGTTCCTGTTCAAGGGACTGATGAGCAAAATCAAGTCTGATAAAAATTTTCCCTCAATCGAATTACCGACGCCCAACGCCATGATATGAAACCCGCTTATGTCACTGGAATAGGGCCATATGAGCCACTGCCGACCAAGTTGACCCAGATAACAACCGTTTGCTTCAATGCTGTCCAAGGCACGAACCCTCACCACTGCGGAAGGTCGTCTCCTGGTGATCCTTATATCTGAGCGAAGCAGGACTGACTTCCTGGTACGCCACAGAAACCCCTCCAGTCGTGTCGTTTTGTACAACCTTTTCCGACACCCGTTCCGCGAGAAACAATGCAACTTCTCCCTTCCTAACCGCTTTTACCTCCTCGTACCAGGCGCCGCAACATATCTCTCCTCCCGCTCCGACATGAACATGACCTGCAGCCAATATTCCTTGGCATCGGGATCCCAAAAGCTAAACTGCTTATCGTCGCGCTTATCCAGCTCGCGCGCGGGGATCTTGAACCCGCACGTCTCGTACGGCTCCGCCGCCACCAGGAGGTACTGGAAATTCTTATCCGGCTCCTCGATGCGCTGCGTGAAGGCGTTCATGACCTGCCACTTGGGCTCCACGTCGGGCGCGATATCCGGGTACTGAAGCTGGAACAGCAGTCCCTGCTGACGCGTGATCGGATCGCGAATCTTTGTAATCTTGTACCCCGGCCGTCCAATCTTGATCAAATTCCGCCTCGCCCCTCCCGCACCGAAGCCGGCACCGACGACGCCGACGGGTAACCCCGTCGCCGGGTCAATGTTTTGTTTCCCTTCCTTTTGTTCGCGGGCGGCGCGGCGGGCGAGGTTGGTCTGGTGCTTTTTGCCCTGGGTGTGGGCGAGGTAGGAGCCGTCGTTTTGGTGGACGGTGAGGCAGAGGCGGCACTCGAAGGAGCCGACGTGGTTTTTGAAAAAGTAGGGGTCCTTGTCGAGGTCGATTGTTTCGAGGGCGAGCTTGCGGAGGCGTTCGCGGCGGTCTGCGTTTGTTGCGCTGAAGGAGGCTACGCCGCCGCCGCCGAATTTGGAGCCGGCGCGGTTTTGGTAGTCCATCTTTGTGGTTTATGGGAAGGTGTTTACGATGTGGAGGAGAGTATTGGTCGTGGGGGTTTGGTGGCTGAGGATTCTTCGAGGTAGACCCTTTCGCTGAGAAGAAGTAAAAATCTTCGTTGGAGTTGGGTGTAGAGGAGTGGAAAAGGCGATGGTCTGGTTGTGGAAGGACCAGTATGGAAGGCTGGAAGCAACTAGATGGAAGTTGCGACAAGAGCTTGGAGTCGCGAAAAGTAAGGTCCACCCGACTGCTGTTCACCTCGGTGAATCCGATACCAAAGCGGAGCCAAAGATTCTCCGGCCATCTCGATATGGCCCGTGCACCGGTGAGCTCGGTCAGCTCCCGCTAGTTCACAACTTCACACGGCCCCCATCGACTTACACCAACTTGCAACACACAATAACCGCCACGGCTCCCGCACCCCTTTGTCGACATTTCACTTCCGGAACCTCCAGAATCCTGGCTTTCCGCTCGTTTCATTCGATCGAGGACTGTATTCTTCAACAATTCGGGGGCGTGGCGCAATGGTAGCGTATCTGATTCCAGTCCAGAAGGCTGTCCGTTCGAGTCGGGCCGTCCTCAATTTATCTTTTGCCTTTTTTACGACATGCTGAAGATCAGGTACCAGCGGCTTGGTACCTGTTGGCTCTGGCCTTATTGGAAGGGACCAGTCGGTTTGCAGTGAGGTCCATCGCTACTGGCCTGAATTCCTGGAGGGGGCCAGTGAAGCTTGGAGATCTGGTCAACTGCAAGGTTACATACAACCCAACGATGCTGAAGAAGTGGATTGATCCAACGTTCCTGCGTTAGGTTGTACGGGTAGCAACGTACTTCTGCCGGAATCCATAGAAGACACGCGTACGGGTACATTTATGCACGTGTGCAGACTTCCGTTGACAGCATTGGTAGCTCGATCCGTGGCTGGCTGTCTTCCGTTCTACGACGAATCCTCCAAGACCCTGGAATTAGGTTACGAGCCGAATTGCCGGCGAGTTGAGTCACAGTTTGTGGCGGGTTGAACCGTTGTTCTCAACGACGCGCCGAGTCTCGAGGGTGACAGTTTCGAGAGGGCCCCGAAAAGAGCTGATGGCCCGGAGTACATAGTACACCTTACCAAGAGGTCCTGCATCGTCTGGTGGGAAGCGCTCGCATCAAGTGGCTAAGCTTACTAGGGAGGGACATTTGTGCAACCCATCTCTGCATACTCTTGACCCCTCATCATGTGGGTGTGGCTAATCTGCTTCGCTGGCATACAGACGGCGACGAATCATCAGCACCCACACCACAGACTCTCCAACGTGTGTGTCTACGCCTGTCTCGCTGGCTATGAAATGCTTCGATGAAATCACCCGAGACCACTGAGTCCTGTCGACTGGACATGGACGCTCCCATAGGCTCTTCGCACTATGTTATAGCTCGTTTGGGAAAGAGGCGACAACCAGGGGTCTAAGCTCCAGATGCTGGTCTTTTTCACTAATGATGCTGGTATGACGCATAATCTACCCTGCTACGATAATGAGCAGCCCAGATACAGGTTTAGCTGGCTTCTCGTTACTGAGCGGGTCTAGCTGTTGATTGTCTTCTTCTGAGCCACGAACGAATAGCCAGGCAACGTAACATGACCTGGTGAGCCACACCAGGTCTCTCGTCGGTGTGGTTGCGTGGGTTTCCTGAACTTATCCTTCCCATACGTGAGGTCACCAAGCTTGAAGGCGTCAAGCTCGTGGGTGATCAGGCTCGCAGTTAACTGAGCTCAGAAGAAGCCAAACTTGGATGTATCCACACTTGGAGGTGACGGAACACAGTACATCAAGCTTGGGGGTTCCCGGTTTGGGAGTGGTAAACCTCAGAGGCAACCAATCCCCTAGGTAGCCAGCCCACAGGTAGCCAGCCCAAAGGTGCCCAAGCCAAGGTAACCAAGCCCACCGATATCGAAGCCCACAAGTAACCAACCCCAAAGGTGACCAAGCCCACGGGCAACTAAGCCTACAGGTAGCCGGGCTTGGAGTATATAATAGACGTAGATAATCCCAAAGTCAACTAAGCTCGGAGGTCGTCAGCAAGCTCAGACATCACGACTCCCACAGATAACCAAACTTGGTAGTCAAGCTCCGAGGCGCCCAGACCTCGATCATCGTATCTATACATAATCCAGCGAGTTACCTCGAAAGAAAGTTCTTTCCGATCATTGTGTAAGCTCTTCCTGCTCAGCCCGCATCCCGCAGTGTTCGCGGCTCTGTGAGCGTGGCTTTCGTTCAGCACAATCCATGATACCCTTGATACCTACTCAGCATACTTGACAGGGTCATTATCTTCTCTCATTTTCCTTGGTCTAGTCTCCTGTATCGATCGACAAGCTTTCGGTTTACCAGGCGCCATGGACAACAACACCGCCCTCTTTCGTTGGGCGCCACCACGAAATGTGAGATGGAATGTCATCGCTAGCTGTGTCACGTTTGGCAACTTCGTGAACAGTATCATTCGAACCTATCCTGACCTGGACACTTGCGACATCAACAACAGCGCACTACGCGATTTGTTCAACTCCGCCTTGCCGACCTACATTTCGGAGGGCTTCAGACACAGCACGACTCAGCAGATAGCATCCTGGTACTTGTCCGGCTGTGGGACAAATGCTACCTATGCTACTTGCGATACGCATCATTGCCTGAGCGCTGTAGCTTTCAAGCAAGCTATCTTGTCCGAGATCAAGAAGTCCTGGAATATGACCTGCATCAGAGAAGTGCGTTCTTCTCTGGGAATTCAAGGCAACGCTGACATTGCGGGCGTCGGGGTAAGCTACAGGCACGGGAAAGCATTGATTCCGAAGGTCTGACAAAGTTCTTCCGCACAGGTCATGGTCACTTTCTGCCTCGAAGCTTCCCTGGTCGTTGGGTTCTTGCTTGCGCAGGCCGTGGAGCAAGTCCATCAACGCAATTCCCGACAACCAAACCCATTCATCAAGTGCATTACCAACGCTTTCAAAGTAGTGCTGCCGGAGTTCTATTGGAGTTCTGTGCTCCTAAGCCTAGGCATGGTCATCGCCTCCCTCCTCACCGCTGCCGCTTCAGCAGGAGATGTACAGAGAGACCGGTTGAGACAGTGGAAGGCTGGCAAGGCATTCACTGTTTATGACACCCAACTTGCGGCGCTGGCGTCACTGTTCAGTATTCAGGCCACTTTCATGGCTGGTCTGATACTTCAGACCTCTGGGAGACGGAGACGCTTGTTGAATGTGGCTATTCTTCCTCTATTGGGGCTTTTTCTGGTGGTCCTAACGTATTTGACGATCAGTTTGGATGCACAGCTACCTGAAAATGTCATCATGTTGCACTGGAGCATGCTCCGAACTGACGAACTGGCCAGAGGGTTTCTTCAAATATTCACCGGTGTCACGATGTTTATGATGGGTATATGCGGTGTGACTGCTTTGGCGACTGCCTGGGCACGCAGAGGGAAAGCTAAACAAAAGGGAGCTTTGCCGGACAACCTTCTGAGGTTTGAACTTTGGACAGTGCAGACGATTTTGACTGCCCTTATGTTAGCGACGCTCGGCAAGTTCTTCGATTTCCGCAAGCAGACAATCCCCGGTAGCGCCGCAGGTGACCCGCAACTCGAATGGAGCTTTGGCCAAATTCTGGTTTTGACGACCTGGATTCCGGTGATGCTTGACATCTGGTATACGAGTAACGGTAAGTCTACATGTTGCTCATCGTCTCTGACTTGTACCGCCGACACAGTGTAGCTAATACGTCACACCAGTCGGGATAATAAGAGGCCTTGAAGTGCATATGCCTGGTGGTTTTCATGCAGTTACCGCGGCTGAATTCAAAAAGATCTTGCCACAAACGCATGATAAGAATCAGGGGTTAGAGCAGGAATCAAATGGTGTGCTACAGGGCAGCCCAAGTAATGGACGTGGAGAGGAAAAGTCTGCCAGTGATATTGAGGTGTAGGATCGCTTAGGATCGCTGTGGGCGTTTGTTTTGGTGCACAAGCCTCACCTTTTCTTATTTCTTTCTCCTTTTGTTCCTGGAACGTTTGTATCATAGACTCATTTCCCAATATATTCGATGAAAACTTAATGGTTACCGAACCTTGTCTTTTCAACCTCGTCTTTTTCACTGAAACCGGTTGCTTGCCTCTTGAGTCCGAAGTACTCTGTTTGTGGACTGTGGTGCAACGGAAGACCAAATCAAGGCCTCATACAGTCTTCTTCTTACTGCCAGCAACCCTTAAAACTCCGACGTCTCTCCCCCAGATAACAGCCAGCGCCGCGCCGCCGGGCCCAACAACCGCACTCCACACTACCAACTTTCCCAGGTCCATTACAACCTGCCCGAGGCCCTTCGTCTCGTACGCCAGGTAGGCAATCCAGCTCCACGTCGCCAAGGAAGCGCAGTACGTGTCCCACTGCAGCAAATCCAAGATCCCCCTCTCTAATGACACCATCTTCACCTGGGACCACGGCGAAGTAGGCTGAAGAATCTGCACCATCGCCTCGATAGCGGTCTCCGAAGCCCAGCCAGCCTTCCAGAAGACGTATCCGACGACACCATAGGATGTCACGGCGACAACGGAAAGAGTGTAAGTGTAGATCCTACGAAAGTCATTGATCTTTGTCTGCGGCCTCGACTTTGCGGCTTCGGGGACCACGCCAAGAGCGCCGATGAGTTGGGCAAAGATCAACTGCCAGATGTCGGACCAGAGGGGGAAGGCCTGCCAGACGGCGAGGAGGATCTCCTGGGTGCGCGGAGTGATGATGCTGGGGCTCGGGAGCGCTGCGAGGAGCGTTGGGATGAAGGCGCCAAAGGTGAAGGAGCCGATGACCGCGCGAGCTTGGACTTGGTCGATGGAGATTGCGGCTGCGAGTTCGTCTGGTGTTAAGGACCCTGGGATCGGGGAGGTGTAGAGGTATGCGAGGAAGTAGAGGGGCAGAGTGGCGCCGAAGGTCATGAGTTGCCAGAGCATTCCCCAGGAGGTCGTGCTGTTCACTTGTTAGGGTTGGCTTCTACTGAGGTTATCAAGGACGAACTCACTAGGAGACCAGTCTCTCTCGGTTTCCGGCTCTCAGACCTTCAACTTGAATGAGGACATGCACGGCGAGCAGTTGGCCGGCCATGAAGATTGAAAACAAAGTGAGATTTGGGTCTTTGCCGTCAAGGATAGGCTTGAAGAACTTCACGAGCATGGTGAGCAGGCTATCGAGCGGCTTCAGGGTGGTGAACGTAATCGGCTCTCCGGCAAGGGCCGACTCTGTGGAGTCCATGAGGCCATTGGTTACGGAGAGGTCGTAGATTGCGACCTTGGCTAGGTAGAAGATGGAGAGGAACACGACGGTGAATACTGGCCGAGACATGTTGGCTATATTTGTTGATGATTGGAGATGCGATGAAGCACTTATTTGGTGATGAGAGAATGGAGTCTTTGCGGTTGATCGTACCGGACCCGAGTGGAGGCATCCTGAGGTTAATCTCACTGGGGGTCCTGGCGATCAGCTGATCGCCGCTACTCATCTGAAGTTGCACCCGTCCACATCCTCGGGAAGCTATTGCGTTTCCTCGGCAAGAAAAGTCATAGCATCTCACTTGATGGGTCTCATTGGCTCAGTCGCTAACACTTGAGTTGGATGGATTGTATGTGATTTGTCTGAAGATTGAAACTAAAAAGTATCCTCCAAGCCTTTTGTGGCCCACCCTGAACGCCGTTTGATAAATCCCTAATTACTATGCAGTAACATTACAGTTGTGTCATGCGATTCCCCTCCTACCCTTATTCTATGATGTGCGCATTATGAGCTCGACGGCTCTGGGGATCCGGCGAAGCGGAACACGATGTAAAGCAGCGGCGCAATCTTTCTGAGTCATTCAGATCTCTTGCTTTCAGGAAGAGGCTGCGGGGACTCGAGCCAGCCGCGCGACGCAGCGTCCTTGATGCCATCGAACCAGATGTGCGCCATCTTTGCGTAGCCCGCGTCGCTGGGGTGAGTGCCGTCGACGAGATCGCTCTTGAGCGGGCCCTTGTCGGAGTGCATATCCACAAGGACAACCTTCTTGGAAATCGCCTGCTGCTCCGAGGCGAGCGTTTTGTACTGCTCGTTGACCTTGAGAACGCACGCCTCCGTGTTGTTGTTCCCGTTCACGAGGAGAGTCGAGAGGACGATGGTGGCGCGCTTGGAGGTGTCCCAGATGTAGTTCATCATCTCGAGCATGCGAACGTGCGCGTTGTCTGTGTCGTAGCTCTGCGCGCAGTCATTTGTGCCGGCGTTGATGAGAACCAGGTTCGGCAGCGTCTCGGGGACGGAGATCTTGGCCTTTGCGAGGACCTGCTCGATGCGAAAGCCGGACCACCCTTCGTTGTCGTTGTCCTCCATCGTGCCGTTGGGGTGATTGCCGACCATGTCGACGGGGTTGCCGTCGGCGACGAGGAGGTCGCGGAGGACCTTGCGGTAGCCGTTGCCGTCTGAGGAGGTTAGGCCATAGGTGATTGAGGCGCCGAGGGGCATGAGGCGGAGTGAGACATTGCCGCCGACGAGGATGTTGAAATCGGCTCTTGGGTGTAGTGCCGGGGCTTGCTGCGCGGGGGCGGCGTAGACTTTTTAGTGGGTTAGTGATGCCGTTGAAGATTTGGTGTAAAAGTCCGGGGCGTTATGGAGGATGAACTTACCAGCAGAGGTTGACGCCAATAATGTGGCCGCCCAGCGGAGAAGAAAGACGTTTGAGTACATAGTTGCGGTGTGATATCTGATGCTGAGGTGATGAACAGCGACGTGAGATGCTCCCAGGTATGAGTGAAATGAGAGAGGTCTACGACTGCTACGATGAGACACTACAGACACGGGTTCACGATGAGACGCATGGGCAGCGGAGAGGTTAAATAAGTGTACAAGATGCGTGAGTGAAAGGATCGGATACCCAGGGCCAAGGAAATAAGCTCACATAGGCTGGGAAACGGATCATGTTGTGGCAAGGACACCCCCTTGGTGCGACTCGGTACCTTGATTTGCCAGCTTGCCTTGGTTCTTTTGCGCTGTACGGTACGAAGCTGCACACTGCGAGCTCTAGTTCATCGAGAAACAAACCCCCTTTGGAAGGATCAGACGGCTCATTGCGATGTTCATTGGACCAATGCCGCGTTGGGAAAAGTGAGGTGGGCGGGAAGAAGAAGGGGTGAGGGGGGTGTGTGACACTAAGGTGTGCAAGGACGCTGGGGTGGTCGGACAAGGATGACGGAGGGAAGACTCTAGAGGAGCAGTGTCTAGATGACATGTCAAGGCGAAGGCGAGGCCGAGGGATAGGATTATGTCAATGAGTCCGAAGGACGGGATGATGGGTAGGGCGAGTGACGGGGAGCAGAACGTTGGAAGTTCGGGGAGGATGAATGAGGCGGCGGCGGAGGCACGGCGGTGCTACTTTCAACCGCCGTGATCCTCCCATGAGTCTCGTGAGTTTTTAGTGTGAGATGAGATGAGGTTGAGTGAGAAAAGAGATTGAGCGTTGCGTGGACGGAGTGAAGAGCACCAAGGTCTCGTTCCTTCGAATGTTGCCATCCATGATCCATCCGTACCGTCTATGATCTATCACTCGCAAAGAAGAAAGCCGTAGAGCAAGGGTCCGACGTTGGAATGTCTCTCGTCTGGAAGATACGGCACAGCAACACGGCAGAAGAGTTCCATTTCTTTACATCTTACATCTTAGTGTCGGTACCTGAAGGTGATTTTACACCCCGAGTGCAACTCCCCGCAGAAAATTGAGTGATCTCTCGCAGGGAAAATGAGTCTTGTCCCGCAATAGGCACCTGCCAATCTGTTTCACCAACCCTGTCTGTCTTCCACCGAGCTTCTATTGTTTCCGCCATCTCACCTTTTCTCATTCGGTCTTCGCGATCAATCCTTGTATTAAGCCAATAACTTATTCTCCGTGGCTGGGGCTCATGGGATCGTACAGAGTATGAGTGATAAAGTGAGATTCACATAAGAACAAAAGTACGGACAAGAATAATGAGACGGCTGGGTTAGGATGGCGAGAGGAGACTTGTTCGGTAAAGAGTGCTAATGAACGCGTGCCCCATAGGTGAGAATTTGGCTTCCCCGGCGGAGTCTAGAAGAAGATCCCGCATGGCTGTTTTTGGCGTAATCCCGCAGGCTTCAAGCATCGAACACATCCCTGACCACCCTCTTTTCCCTCCTCATCCTCATCGGTCGGTCGCCGCTGTATTCTCTTTACCCGGGATTAGCTGTGGCTTTACACGCGGAGTTCCTCCGAACTCTTGGTCCCAGCAAATAACTTCCCGACGGCGGCTCAGTTTCACTCTTACAAACACAGCCGCACGCCGCGCTTCTCCAGCCTCTTCCTCTCGTCTTCCTATTTCCCACTCACTCTACTCGGTGCAGAAGTCTCTAATGCTGCGCGCCCACGTCAGATATTTTAAGCCCAGACTCATTTCTCCGACTCCTGCGTCAAGCTTGATTTCGTTCCTGCATCTGCCTCCTGTCTGGCCCACGGTTTCGTGCGTCTTCATTGCGCTGCTCGGATTCCCCCAGTCCGAGCCCCCTTCTAAATTCCAGGGCCTCCAGCTTCCAAAGAGCTCTTCAAGGGTCCCGGCTGCCGACAACGTGAGGAATTCGGTTCAATGACGGAAACATGTCCCAACCCGGAGCGCCATCCGGACTATTGATGTGCGTTTACGAAAGCTGACAGCACCCGCGCTCGACAGTGCGCCAGAGTGACAGAAATGCAGAGAGACGCATGTCCCTTGCGGTCGGTCCGAGTCCCTGACGTCAGGGATCGACAGATGCTAGCAAAGACGCATAACAATTGAGAGTGTTTTTTCTTGTCGCGTGGTAGACCACCACCGGCGATGGCGCACTAATTCTGAATGAGGTAGATCGGCGTCCAAAGTTGATCGCCTCAAACGATCTTGAGAGTAATGCGGCATCGCGGCGTACGCAGCAGTGAGAAGCCAAGTCTTTCAGGGTCGGCAGAGATGTCCCGAGAGTGTGGCCATGGCCTTTCACGTGAGACGACATCAGATCTGTTGTGCTTTTCAATGAGA